TTTCAATTTCATCGATGAAAATGTTTATTTTCATTGGTGACATTGCATGAATTTGATTTTTTTCAAAGTCATGGCATTATTTTGATGAAAATATTCATTTTCATCGATGAAATCGAAAAACTCAACGAAAATGTCCGTTTCATCATCAGAAATGCCATTTTTTCATTTTTTTATTCCCTGGGTATTATATATCTTTATTTTGAAAAACGAGCACTACTTGGCATGATTGTCTAAGTCAGATGACTTCTTTTTTTTTTTGAAATCAATGGCAATCTTGGAAAGCACTTCAATTGTAAAGTAGATCAAAACATAATATATCCTACTCAACTTTAAAGCATAATAAGGATACTTCAGATTTCTATGCGTAATTATTTAATTTTAAATGTAATCTGTTATAGGGAAACAAACAGGCTTGTTGCGATAGATACGTTTGAAGAGGGCAGATGTTACAAGAACTTTCTTAGTAATGTGTTTTTGAAGCTTAGAGCTTGCCCTTTTGATACGAAAAAGATTGAACTCTCTACGATGTTTCTGAGCGGAAGATTATGAGTTGAGATCTCGACAATTACTTATGCATCGCAGGTTATTTGCATATGTAGCATAATCTTGAAAATTTTGCCGAAAGGGTTTTGAAAAAAGAAAAATATTCATAGTAAAATTATAGATGTTCTTTATGGATGATCTCAACTGAATATTATTCAACCAAATTAGTTTCGATGAAAATTCTTTTGGATTTTATTCAGATGTTATACAAGATATATTGTCGGATTTACCTCATGTAGTTAATTTTTTCTTATGTTATTTAGCCGGGAAAAGATTTCGAAGTATATTTCTAAATGAATTTCATCAATTACTTGTTGATTTTCATTTCATTAAACAAAATCAAAGACGTCGTACATATGGAGCATCTATTTTGAATCCGAATTTAACACCAAGTACAGGTTATTATCAAACTCTAGGACGTGTATCATCAAAAATACCTCCATCAAAAGTAAGACAGAGTTTAAAAGTTTTGTTTAATGGTAAAAGTGCTCTAACAATACTTAATCGTCAAAATGAAAGTTTCTTAGAAAAAAAGATTTGTAGATCCGATGGCAATTAAAAATATGTTCGTTCTTATACAAGTAAACAATAAAATTGTGAAAATGTTGTCTAAATTTTATATGTTGTAATTATATTTACGTTTTGACTCTCTATTTAAGTTTAATAAATGTGCAATATTATCGGAATCTGATATTAATCTTATCAAATCATTTTATTGTTAAAAAAAAACAAAAATTGAATTTCTATTTCATATTCAATGATTAAATTGAAGATCAATCGATTTGTTTGTCTGTGTATTGTGACTTTAGAAGAATTTACGTATTTTTAACATGAAAATATTCTATTTTATGGTACGATTTCTTCTTTCATATTTTACTACTGGTTTTTTTATTCATGTTCTACAAGTGTACTTACGTAGATGAAGGAGTAGTGTAGGTTATATGTTTATGGTTCTTGTTTAGTAGACGCTACCATTTACAAGTGTATGTAATTTAGTTGATTATATATGACAAAATGATTGTAACAACAGCGTCTGCATATGTACTTGAACAATTTTTATCTTCATATAAAGAAAAAAGGCGTGTGTCACTGATAATATTTTGTTTTTTAAAAGCATCTTCGAAAATTTTGATTCAACAATTTTTTTTCGTAATATTTGAAACTAGTAATCATATTTACTTTTCAAAAGTTTTTAATGATAATAACAATGAAATGGATTCAATTCTTGTTAATATTAGTCTAATTACAGTTTTTCTATTTTTCGGCTTGGCACTATTTTGCTTGATGATGAAACAATAACAATAAAAAAGAAAAGTATAGGCGAAAAAAAAGAACTTTGTTTTTTAATAGATTCACTTTTTTCTCAGAACAATTGCAACAGAGGGAGTAACGAACTACATCTTTGAGAAGTAGACAAAAATTCTTATCATCGATTTCGTCTTCATCATTACTTGGCCAATTATCATACAAGCAAATCATTGGAAAAACCTTCACGTTTGTCTAACGGTTAAAAGCTTCGATCTAAAAAATAAAATGCATTACCTCTTTTAAGTGTGTAAAAAATATTTTATTTCTTTTTTTGTAATAAGTAATTTTTTGCACATAAAGCGGTAAGTATGCTCTTCGCCGAAAACAAGATCAT